CGAGGGCAGGTTACCCTTCATCCTAGTCTTTCTTTTTCAATTTCTCTCTAAGCAGTCCTTGAGGAGACACCTCAGGACTTTTCAATGATCTCATTGGACTTCATCTAACTCTTTTGACTCATTCGACTCTTTCCCTTTCATAATCCTGTTCATACTGCATAGAATATCATGGTCTGGTCATTTACAGGAACAAGGAAAGCTGTGACATGAGGTCCTCAAGCCCCTTCTGGGGTCAATTTATATGAATAGTTTTTCCCACATCTTCATTCTGCTTGTCAAGAATTTTGAAAATCAAAATTGCAATGTTTCATAGTAACTATTATTTCTACCACTACCCACGTACGTGTAGTGTTATGCGAAAGCAAGCAATACTCAATAATGCCTAGGAGAGGATAGGATAGGATAGGATTTGATGCCACTGCGTGTGGGTTCTTGTCCTGGCTTTGCTGATGACATGTTTGCTAATAAGATGTATTTAGAAAACTACATCTCTGGCTCTTAATTGAATTAGGTCAAGGTTAGCAAATAAGTGTCAGCCTGTGAGCCAAGTTGGAAAGACATCTAGGTAGGTTTTTGGAAGATGGTAGATGACACATAGGCATGACCAGAGGAATCTCCAGGGAATAAGCTGAGTAAAGCTGGATTTGGAAGATGGTAGATGACACATGGGCATGTCCAGAGGAATCTCCAGGGAATAAGCTGAGTAAAGATGGTTAAAGCCATCAGAAGAAGTGAAAAATAGTACTTTTTTTTTTTTTTTTTGCTCCATTTTGATAGCAAAGCAAAACAGAAAATTATAAAAGTAGAACTATGGAAGACTCAGTCCCTTCCAAATAGATTGGTGGATTTGTGGAGCTCCAGCCTTCAACTGAGGGAGAATGTACCAAGCCATGCTCAATAGAGAGCCTGTGCATTAACCTGCATTATACTCTCAGTAACAGGCGTTTTTGTTGTTTTTCATTATTCTTTTTTAAAAAAGAAATTGTTCGTTGACAGTTTCCTCACAAACACGGCGAGTTTTAGTCATTTTCACACCTATTACTCTCTCATCCACCCTCCTGTCATTGCAGCTCTTCTCTCTAAGAAGTCACACACTCACATCTCTCTGTCAGTGTGATCCACAGAATGTAACTGGCCTGCTTGAGCACGGGTGGGTGGTAATGAGGCCGTCTGTTGGTGCTAATACCACCGAAGAGAATGATACCTCTTCCCTCAGCAGCCATTAACTGACAACAGTCCCTTGGGGAGGGTGGAACACCATGAGCAACACTCCTATCCATGATGAAATGTTGAAGGCCCAAGCTTGGCAGAGCCTGTGCAGGTAACCACAGCTGCTGTGACCTCGTGAGTGCAAGGGCTGTGTCATGATCAGAAGATGTCATTTCACATTGGCTTCCAGCTCTGACATTCTTTCCACAATGTTCTCTGAGACGTGGAGAGGGTGATATCAATGTCTTGTTTAAAGCTGAGAACGCCGCCATCATTTATTCTTGGAACTCTGACAAGCTTTGAGTCTCTGCACCAACCACTGCCCATGGCTACAAGAAATATCTCTGACCAAGGCTGAAAGTAGTGCTAATCTTTGGGTATAAACATGAGTGTTTAGAAGACAGCTTAGCCTTAAGCTTGTCCATTTAGCAGAACAACAGTAATAGGTTGCCCTTGAGGGCCACCTATGACTTACCCAGCCAATGGTTCTTGACTAAGTTTGCAGTATCAAACGTGGGTTCCTTCCTGTGAAACAGGCCTCAAATCCAACCGGAAAGTAACTGGCTGTCCTCAGCATGATCACACCACTGTTGTACCGTCTCTTCAGGTAGGTCAGAATTACAGCTTGCGGAGTTAAAGTTAGGTGAGACTATTGGTGGCTTCCCCCAACCCCAGGAGCCTCCAGAACCTTCCAGAATTGTGAAAGCTAGCCAGCAGGGAGGAGGCTTCCAGCTCAGTTCCAGGTGGATTTCTCTGTGTTCTCTGTGTGTATGTGGTTGATGTCTTTAGCAATAAGGTTTTACTGTCAAGTTCTAGTGGACAACCAAGAGCAATATTGATATCTTGTACTGTTTGGGGAGCCTCCTTGACCTCTGTGACCAACAGCTGGTAAGGAGGTGCTCTATACCTGGCATTGGGATTTTTATTTAATGACCCATGCCTGTTGTCCATCCATACAAGGTAGCTCTGTTCAAATTCTAATTATTAAATTTTAAATAAACTTATGTAATAGTAAGTTTTCAATCTTTACTTTGATTTTCCTCCATCTGCCATTCCTTTCCACCACCACCATCCCAACTTAGACCATTTAAACCCCGACCTTCCAGCTTTTACTTTCAAATCACAATTGTTATAGAGATATTAGAAGGGAAAACAGAAGGGTTTCCCCTCTACCTTAAAAAAACTACAACTGAGTCAGCAGCCTTAGAGCCCATGACTGACCATGAGTTCCTCTTCAGGAAACAGAAGCAAGCATCACCCGACTATATGCAGAAACCTAGTCAACAAATACCTTAGACTGTGGAGACGAGACCTTGAAACAGAACCCTGGGCTGTATTCGTGAGGTGGAAATGAGGAATAAAGATTCAGGTTCCAAGTGATCCAGCAAACATTGGAAGGATTATCCAGTGTACTTCCCACAGATGAGGCCAGCACCTGTGACCCGGCCTCACGGGTGTAACAGGCATTTGTGAGCCCCAGGAAGGTACCAAGAGAGTGGAGACTGGGAACACAGGACCTCATTCACACTCACACATAAACCCAAGCCACACTCCTCTTCACATGTGTTTCTCCTTCACTGAATTCCCAGTATCTGTACAGAGAACCAGCTCTGTCCTTCCGTGTTCTCTCTTTTGCTCTCATGGTTAGTTTTACTCTCTTCCCTTTGCCTTTTCTCTTTAATTTTTCATTTTCATTTAAATGGGCTTTCCCAAAACCATTGGTTAGCCAGTTTGCAGAGTCTCTGTGGCCCAGACTTCTGAGACCTTGGACTCTTTTTGGTTATTATATTACATTTCTTTACCTCGTTTTTTTTTTTTAAACTGTCTTTAACCAAAACAGCCTCATTCCCCACTTTCACTCCTGTCCATATTGCTCCCTCATTTTAAAATTTTTCCTCCTTTGCTTTTTTTCAACAAAATGCAAATCACAAGTCTCCTTGCTCTTTTCCTTTCTATTACTAGCCACAGAAATTCTATTAATATTTGTTTTCTTGTTTACTTATTACAATGTGTGGAGATTAAGGGGTGATCATTCATTACTTGCGTCTTATTATATGTTCTTGATGGGCCTTTACTTTGACAGCAGTCTTTTTTTTCCCCCCAGGGGAGTATTGGGACCTAGCCTGATGCCTCAAGCACTAGTCAAGCAGACAAAAAAAAAAAAAAGAAAGAAAAAAAGAAAAAAATCCCAACCTTATTACAACCCAGTCATTCTAAATATTCCTCTTAAAAGAAAAATCCAATTAAAAAAAATCAACCAGTACTTGAGATGACCCAGTCCCAATACAAAACCACAAATGTATGAAAAACAAAAACAATAGAACCCAGTGCTCTGAGGACAGCGAAGGAGGCAGGAGTTTACAGAGGCTGCTGAATGCTGAGAGAGAGGCAGGACGTCCATAAAAGTAAGAATCTAAACCTGGTGTGTCACAGTGCCTCTTCTAGTATCCTCAGAAGCCATGAGGAAAAGGATAAAAGTGACCAAAGTTCATAACCTAGGACACACCTGCATTTGGGCTTAAATACACCTCTTCAGGCTTCCTCTTGCTCTTCCCTTCACGGCTCTACTCTCAGGGATTTTTTTTCTCCTGAAATCTGGTGAGCTGGAATCTCCGTCCTCTTGTTTTCTTGTCTTCTCCCCATCTGTATCTTAAAGGTATAGCTCTTGTAAATTAAATACTTCATTCTTGGTTTTTTTTTTAATTCTATTTTAATAATCTTTATTTTTAACTAAATGTGTTTTTCTATTTCTACTTAACATTAGTGTAGTTAGGCTTACATCTGCTATTTAGCTTGATTATTATTCTCTTTTTGTTTTTACCATTTTTCCTTTTATTTAAAAATATTATTAAATTGTTTTATATTTATCTTTAGTAATACCACTGTTGAACTTTTAAGCATTCATATTTGCATTGTTTTCATTGTGTTTTGTGTTTTCTCTTCATCAACCATTTGGACACACTTTTAATGAAGTATTTGAGTATCTTTTAATTTTTTTTTTTTTGAGATAATGTCTCACTATGTATTCCCAATTGGTCTGAAGCTCACTGTATAGACCAGGCTGGCCTCAAACTCACAAAGTTGGCCCTGCCTCTGCCTCCCAGGTACTGAGATTAATTTCGTGGACTCCTAGTTTAGTTTTCCTAATTTTCATTGGAATAGCGGACTTTTTAGATATGTGTTTGTATCTCTCATGGGATGAAAACATTACAAAGTTCTTCCACTCTATGAGTTGTCCTTTTATTCCTAAAGTTTATTCCTAAACTTTCTTTAGACTTATTTTTATTGTCATTTATATGTATGTCTCTGAATATGAGTATTCCACTTGTGTAAGTGCCCTCTGAGACCAGAGGAAAGTGCCGGACCCCCTCAGTCCCCCTATGTCAGTGCTGGGATCAGAACCCAGGTCCTCTGGAAGAGTACCAAGTGCTGTTAACCATTAAGCCATCTCTCTAGCTCCAAAAGGAGCCTTTGATATTGTTGTCGTAAGCCCTAAGCTCTAAATTCTCAACTGTAAAATAAGATGTATAGTCGAATTTCATTTATGGAGCTTATGTGAAGAGTAAATAAAGCAATGTATGTGTTCTTAGCCCAATGCCTGGCACTGAGAAAAGCTTATTAAATATTATTCTCTCCCTTCTGCTCTCCCTGCCCCCATCTAACCTATTTCCTGTTTCTGGCTCTCTTAGAAGTAATGGGTAAAGTGAAGAAGGCAAACGATTTCTACTTAAAAATTCCTACAAAGCGTGTGATTCCTCATCTGTAACAAAAAAGAAGAGTCTTATCAATCACTTTTTCCTTCTGAGAGCCTTATAAAAGGTGACATAAAAGATGAGTCATTCTAACCTGACTCCTCCTCCTTTATTTAAATTTCCAGCTGAGGACTAGAGAAGATGCCTTAGAGTGAGTTTTGTTCACTTTACTGACTGACGACCTGAAAAGGATATGGCTGGTTTCTCAGTGTGCGTCATCTTTACCTCTGTCCTCTGTCAGCTCACAGGTGAGTCTAACCATATCTTATCCCATTCTCCTGACTTCCTCAGCCTCAAGTATGATCCCAGGCTCCTGGGTCCCCACTGAGTGTTGCTTTTTACCTAGACACTGATGTCTGCAAGGAGAAGAGGGGGAAAGAACCAAAACAGCTCTTCCAACAGTCTCTTCTGACTACCTCAGGGAAGGAGAGACTGAAAGAATTTGGGCTGGGTTGTAGGAGACCTGAGTTCTCATCCAGCTCTGTCAAATGGAGAGTGTCAAAGCTCCCCTGGACTGCAGTCTCTCCATCTTTTAGCCTTCCCTCCTTTTGAAAAGTTTTAGAAGTAAAGGTCTACAATTATGTTCGTATTCACAAATATATTTTAACTGAATAAGTTTCTGCATGAACTTAATGATTATGCCTAAGAATGGAGGGAACCACTTGAATTTTTTTTCTCTTAAACTGAGCGACCAAGTCTGCCTCTACTGAGAAACTAGTCTATTGCAGGTCCTCTCTGTTTAGTCATATGAAGGACTGAGGGACTTCATGGCCCTTTCATAGGTATGATAGTCATGAAAGATTTTATTATTCTCAGTGTTCTCTAACATGAGTCAGAGTCAGACCATGAAGGTTCTCTCTCTCTCTCTCTCTCTCTCTCTCTCTCTCTCTCTCTCTGAGGTACTGTCATGGGTGTCATATCTGTACACACTAAACTAAAATAGCTTGATCCCAAACCACATACCATTTTCAATCCTTTCTTCCCCAAAATGAGCTGATTCAGACCTATGGGCTGTTACTCCTCCTTGAACTCATCAAAGCTTGCACCGTTAGGAAGCACCTGGCCCTAAGTATGTTGTCCTAACTCAGTCTTGTTTCTAAAATTTCTCCCTGAACGGAAATGGTGATCAGAATTAGAACTTAAAGAGCAGGTGGGGGAGGGCATACCAGGGCTTCGAAAAGCGCAGGTGCTCACCTGAATCGTCTGTAGCGCCAGGGTATGCCCCTTGCTGCTGTGCTCCGGCAAGCAGTGGGCAGTCTGGTGTTACATCTTCCACGGCTGAAAAGAGTTCGGGTTGTTCTTTAATGCCCAATGGGAGTAGTAGAAGCAGTTCAGACCCCGGATGAGAGCTTCCTGGTTTAGCTCCGGGCTGGATTGCTGTGGTCAAACAACTTCGTACTTCACACTTTGCTTTCCTGTGCACAACAGATAATCAAAAGGAACTTGCAGAATTACTGTGATGTTTTGAGGTGAGATGTCAAAGGGAAATTAATTCAATGACAATTGCCCTTTAAGCTCCTAATACCCTCCAAGGGACTCTTTGTGCCATCTCCTTACAAATCTGTAAGACAGGGATTTGAAGATAAGGAAATTTAGGCTGGGAGAGGTTGTGTTTTCACAGGCTAGATCACACAGACATTACAAGGTAAAGCAGAAAGTGAGTTCCAAAGCTGGAGGCAGCACCAAGCTTTCGAACCAATGTAACGCCTGACACTAGAAAGGTATTCAGTTAAAGTGTATTTGAACTGGGTCCTCCACAGCAAGAGCCAGATGGGATTTCTTCTCCAGGTACAGCAGACCAAGATAGGAACCAGAAAGAACCTCAACAAATAGGTAGCACTATTTTGGGGATATGGCTGCATCAATGGGATACCACTCTGGGCAATTTGACAGGAGCCAGGGAGGTCGCTCTTGCAGCCTGGATGTTCTCACCAGGATAAGGAGCACAGAAGTCTGTTTCTCTGGGTGTTTTCTGGTGATTGAGAAATGCAACAGTTTTAAGGGAAACAAAGATGAGGGAGGGGCATGGGAGGCTGCTGCAAAGAGCCAGAAACAACGCAGAGGAGTGGGGGAATCGAGAGGCAGAGTGGTGATTGCTGATGTGTGAGGCAGGGGGTGTGATGAGCTGGGAAGTGTGTGAGTTCTGGTGTGTGTGTGTGTGTGTGTGTGTGTGTGTACCCCATGGTATTGACCTACAGTGTGATTTTCAGGGGACATTAGACAAGGAGAAGTTAGCTAAAGTACCACACATCCCAAACCATTTGCTCCTATGAGAGCAGTACTTTTCACTCACGAACAGAAATGCGTGAGTGATTGTATATGTGGTTGAAACCTCTCTGTAAGTGAAAAGGCTCCAAAGCCTCCCTTACACCTCTCGCTGGGCTCCTCGGAAAGAAAAAGATGTTGAGACTCCAGCTATAGCCAAAGACACAGGGGAAATCTTGTCTTTGGTGTCTTGGGTCCTGACCTCCTGACCCTAAGTCTCTGGATGCCAATCTCCCCGACAAGGAGATGGAAAGGAATTGGACTCAGTGTTACCAGCTGAAGACTCCTCCCAGTTCTGAGATGTTTTATTCTTAATTTCCATGAGGAGGAAGCTTCAACGTGCTGGTCCATTTGTAACCCTTGGACTGGGCTGGCAAGCCGTTGGTTGAGCTTTGCACCTGGAATGCCCTCCCCTGTGTCTTCCTCCTGAGGTTCCATCCTGGGGTTGCTTCTTTTGACCTTTGGTGGGCGGAATGTAACAAGAGGGAGAAGAGAAGTGACAAGATGAAACAGAGCTGACAAGAGGGAAGAGATGGAGTATCATTCCACTCTGGAGTATATCTCAGAGGTGCCAATGCTCCTGACACTAAAGACAGAAAGGCAGACCACAGATGGTCTCCTGGTCCACCGCCTTCCACCGCCTCTATAGGCGGGCTGCCTGGGAGATGTGCAGGGGTGTCTGAGCCTCTGGCTTTCTAAGAAGTCATCCACTGCTATTTGGGGAGCTATTTTCTTACATGTTGCAGATATGAAACAGGGAAAATACAAAGCCTTCTCAAAGCACCCACTGCCTTTGGCTCCCGCCTCCCACTAGGATCAGCCAAAACCACTTTCAGATCCACATTCACTCTCAAACTTCCCCTAATTACTAGGATATGAAGTTGTTTGTTTGTTTTTTTTCTATACAGTATCAGAGAACTGAAACTCAAAGAGGTAAGTGAAAAAAAATCAAAACACAGGCCTCTGAGATGAAGGATCTCAGTCCCTTCCCCCTAACCTGTCTCTCAAACCCAGAGCTCCTCATGGGCATCCACCAAGTATTCTACTGTTGAGCTATACTCCTGCCATTTTTATGGCCTTGGAAAAGTCACTCAGCCCTAGTATCCTCATTTATAAGATGGAATGTGTTAACTCTTATCTCCTGAGCTTGTTCTGGAGATCAACAAAGGTAGTTCTTTCTGGAATTATGACTTTGGAGGAACCAGAGTGGATCCTAGGTCCCTTGACTCACACTGAAGACAGAGAGCTCTTTTTCATACTGCAGTATCCTGGTAGGAAGAGAGGCCTGGTAGACAGAGCAATGCCATCATAGAGTAATCTGGGACCTAATACTTGTAGACTGGTCATTGGCTAATTCACACACACACACACACACACACACACACACACACACACACACACAAACTGAGGATCAATAGAGGGAAGAGCCCCAGATGCTTGTCCAGCAACAAGTGGGTTTTGTATTTTTCCACAGCCTTATATCATTATCTCGGCCTTAGAGCTTAAGCCTCAGGCTTCTCTCAGATGACTGTCATGGTGCTATGTCAAACGGTGGGGCATGCTTGCAAGTACAGACTCTAGGACCTTCTGGTTCCACAGGTCAGGTTTAGCCCTCTCCTAGTAGCCTCACAGCTTTTATTACATCTCTCCTTGTAGCACAGGGAGTTGCTCAATTGTTTTTCACAACTTTGTGAGTGCAAGGATCATGACCATCTTGCCCAAGCCCTCAGTTCTGTTTTTAGCTCCTAAAATAATTCTTGCCAATGCAAAAATGATCTACTAGACATAGAAAAACTGCAGTCATACCTAGAGTAGTCAAGCCAACACAAAAACCCAGTTTCAGTTCATTTTTAAACATTTTTTTTAAAATGTCTCTGCTTTCTAGATCCCTTTTCCCAGTCAACTGGGATAATAAAATCAAACTGGTTAGAATTTACCAACCGTGTTTTTGTTCATTAGTCCACTATTTAGGAAATGTCACGGAGCTGTTTGATATGAGTGTGGTTACACTTGGGAGGTGGAGGCAGGAAAATCAAGAGTATAAGGCCTTGACATTGGAGAGATGGCTCAGTGGTTGAGAGCACTTGCTGCTTTTGCAGAGGACCTGGGTTTGGTTCCCAGCATCCACACATTGGCTCACAGCCATCTGTGACTCCAGTTCTAGGGGATCTAACACCCTCTTCTGACCTTGGCAGCCACCAGGCACACACATGATATTTATATATACCCAGAGACAAGACACTCATACACAAAATCAAATTTAAAAATCTAAAAAAAAAAATTAATTAAAAAGAAAGAATTCAAGGCCATTATTTTTACAAGTTTGAAGCCAATTTGGACCACGTAAGACCTTGTTTCGAAAGAAGGAAGGAAGGAAGAAAAGAAAGAAAGAAAGAAAGAAAGAAAGAAAGAAAGAAAGAAAGAAAGAAAGGAAGGAAGAAAGGAAGGAAGGAAGGAAAAAAGAAGAGGAGGAGGAGGAGGAAAAGTGATGGTGGTTGTTACTTAGTGCTCTTTGCCCCATGTCATCCTCCGCTTTTATTGTAACAACAGGCAGTGAATCTCAGGTGTTTCTTCACACTTACTCCACACTAACTCATATCTGGTGACATTTACCCTGAGAAAATAGAAACCACCTGCGAGAGAGTAAAAAGACAGCTTCCTCCTGGCCTATGTACGTGTTAACACACTGAAGCCATACTCCGAGAGCTTTGTCACTTAATCGCTTGTGCTAGGGCTTGGATGTGGTTTTTCCCACCCATGAGTTTGATACCAGAATCTAAGTCCCCACTGTAGTGAGGTAGAGGTGCTAAAACCTTTAGGAGACGAGGCCTAGGGTAGGGTGTTGGGTGACAAAGGCACCATGCTGAGAAAGAATTACCGCTGCCTCCTGGGAGTGAGTTAACTGTCCTGAGAGCAGATTTGTTATAATGAATCCTATCTGTTCTTGGCTTCTGCTCAAGGATGGTTTCCTTTCTGTTTCTCTGCCATCTTGTGACCCAACCAAGAGAGGTTTCATCAAAGGCTTCACAAATGGTGTTGCACATGCTCAGAGTTTCAACCACCCAAACTGTAAATTAAATAATCCTCTTCTTCTTTAGAAGCTATCCAGCCACATATGTTTTGTTACTACTTCAGAAAAGGACTAATACATACCAAATTATATCTCCCCAAAACTAATGTGAAAAGGAAATTACTTGAAGGCCCAAGAATTGGACCCACTTGGGGGACGAGTGTTATCCAGTCTTTATCTGGCTTCAAGATATTTACCCTTTCTATCTCTGTTGTTGAAACAAAGAATGAACTCATCAATTAGTCAAAAAATCACAATAAATTTGATTTTTGTCTGTAACTTTTACTGGTACTATTTTTACATATTTGGAGACAATTAAAGTAAGTCAGTCTAAAACCACACTGGCCTTCCTTTTATGGAAGTAGGGAGCTTTTTTAAAACTCAGATTATTTAACTAGATAATTTGAAAATATTAGAGAAATTCAAAGTATACGTGCACTGACTGATAAGTTATAAGGGAAAATGTTTGAAAATGAAAATTTGTTCTAGGAAGAGAAATCAGTACTTTTGAATATTATCTTAGCAAATGTTGGTAGATCCCTCCAGACCTGTAATTAAGGGAGTAATTAGGTCCTGATCTATAAGATGCAGCTATAAAAATTCTTAGTCTGGGAACTTTAACAACTAAAGAAAATCATAGTACATGCTTTAAGTTGTTGGTCCCAATCAAAGGGACTTTTGTGAACCTCAGATTTTGTCCCTTATACTATCACAGACAATCACCCAGTGATCATCACTGGAAATACTTAGTTGGTCTCTTCTGGAAGTTCCACCAAGAGTCATTCTTTCACGTGGGGTTATGTAACCAGTAGAACTTGACACAGAGTCATGCTCTACATTGAGCTAAGACTGTAGAGAAACCAAAACAAAAAATAATTCCTATGGAATGAGAACCTCTCTGAATTCTCTAGCGCAAGGGGTGATCATTACAAGCAGTGCTTCCCAACATTCAGACTCACCTTCCTTCTTCCCACCTATCTTAGAACTCAAATGGATGAAAACTTTTGGTGGGGATGACCTCAAATCCAAATATCTCATAAACTAGGAAGATACATCATCCTTAAACATGTCAGCTATTGCTGTTACTACAAATATACTGTTCTCCCGTTAACCTGATTTATGCTTGTGAACCACTGGCTCCAGTTTGGGCAGCCTAGCTCATCGACTTCATACAGAGTTTCCTCTGGAGCAATTTGACGGTCCTAAGAGACCCAGACAGAAACTTCCTTATTTGTGTGCACACAGGAACCTGTTGAGGATGGAGCTGGGCTTTCAAGTTCACTGAAGAGCTTGGTCTACTCAGCTGGGGGTCTCTTCGAATGTGACCTAGCAGGCAAAAGGTTCTGATCTCAATGCTTTTGTGTGGGTGAGGTTCTGGTTCTATTGAACTTAGAGACATTTCTCAGGATCTTCAAAGGTCTCAAAGGACACGGTAATTTGTGGCAAAAGCTTACATTATGGTTTCCTTTGTCTGCAGCAACAGCAGCTTCTGGAACACTGAAAGAGGTGGTTGGTGCCCTTGGTGGATCTGTGACCTTCACTGTGAATATCACTGAAAAAGAGGTCGACCAAATCATATGGACCTTCAAGACGTTGTTTCTTGCCATCAAAACTAAGGACAAGGTCATAATGTCAGAAAATGAGAGAAAAAGGATAGTCATTCCAGATGGAAGCTACTCCATGACTCTCAGACAGTTGAGGAAGAATGACTCAGGTGTCTACCGTGTGGAAATTCACATTCCATCACTTCAGTCTCCCTTCACCCAGGAGTATCAGCTACATGTCTATGGTAAGCAGGCTCAGTTCTAATGGTGGCTGGCTGACATATGGATGTAGTGAGCGTCCTGGCACAGAGGAGGTTCAAGTCAAGGTTGGCAAAGATCAGGGAGCAGAGGACCCTGCACAGACAGCATGTAACTGATGCATAAGGTCTCTGCTTACTTTGAGATCCTATAAGAGGCTGTGCAGTGTAGATGACAGGCAACCTAAAAAGTGGCTATCAGCCAGGCAGTGGTGGCAGGCACCTTTAATCGCAGCTACTCTGGAGGCAGAGGCAAGCGGATCACTAATTTCTAGGATAGCCTGGTCTGTTCCAGGACAACCAGAGCTACACAGAGAAACCTTGTCTCATAAACAATAACACAAAACAAACAAAAAGATTGGCTACTTATTATGTGTATGGCCTTAGCCAAGTTGCTTTCTTTAGAGTCTTAGTTTGTGCATATGTAAGGATAATGACACCTACCTTAAGAAGAGTATTAGATATAAATTACATTCCTTTCCCTACAGACTCTAAGAAATTGAGACATAGACACAAAAATCAGAAAGAAGATAAGATCCAGCTACTGTGATTCATGCCTCTAGTTATAGCTACTCTGGAGGTTGGGGCAGGAGAACTCCTTGGGGCCAAGGTTTAGAGCTAGCCTGGGCAACAGAAAGAGAAAGGTGAAGAGAGAGAGGGGGAGGAGAGAAAGACCACCCAAGAAAATTAACTCACAAAACAATCGCTTAGTTGTCTACCAGAAGAGTTAGTTGTCTTGTGCACTGACCTACAGTGTCAGAGAAGCCAGGAGATGGGACCCAAGACTTGCTTGCAGGAGATTGGCAATGCACCTCCATCCGGGCTTATGTTCCATAGAGACAGTAGAAGTGAACAGGAATTGCATAATCTGCAGAAAATCTAGCTGGGGGAAGGATGAAGAGGAAGAAAGTATTTTAATGGACAAAGCTGCAGGACAGATAATGAATGCCACATTCTCAGTATCTCTCCGATAAACCATTTGCTGATCTTCTGAGTGTAAAGGAGTGGGTACAAGAATGTTGTGAGAAGTGTTACTCCAGTATTATTCTCTCCTGGAGTTTGTTTAAGGAAGTCTAAGGGCATGCAACAAGAAGCCTCTGGTGTTGATGATTATTAATATTTACTATTGATTTATCTTTAGTTAAACAGAGGTTATTCCTAAACCAGCTGTATACCCAAATCACCATACAGAGACTAGGATTTATTTAATTAACCTAGAGCACAATACTGGGCAATAATTACTCCATCCTAAACCTTTAATCCCACATAGCTTACTCCCATTCAGATTTTCCACACTGTAATTGCTTTTTAATCATATCTTAGATTCTGTTCATTTCTCCTGATGTTTCCAGGTCCTCTCCTCTCAGATCTCTCCTCCCACTCTTCCTTTCTCTACCCCTTCAGACCAGGATGTCCCACCTATTCTCTCCATTGCTCAGCATTGGCTGGTTATTTTTATTGGCAATACAGAGAACAAATGGTGGCATGTTTACACAAACTTGAGATAGGTGATGCTTAGAATAAGCATCAAAATGCAATGTCTGTATTGAAACCAGATAGTGGGGTAGAGAAATCAGCATTTGAATGAACAAGGGTAAATTGTATACATTCCACAAGAACATTATACCAACATGCTGGATAAAGATTAGATTACACCTAAAATGCAAGTAAGCACACTGCTTGCCCTAACGCTAGGCTTGGTGAACGTCACTACATTTTTGTTGCATGATTATTTTTGTTGTAATGGCGGCTATTATTCTTGCTACATAACTAGGGCTGAGGAGACTTAAGAGATCTCTTTCCCACATAAGAATAAAATAATTCTGCAAGGGTGGTGGTGGCACAGGCCTTTGATCCTAGCACTCTGGGAGGAGAGACAGGCAAATCTCTGAGAGTTCAAAGCCAGCCTATTCCACAGAGCTAGTTCCAGGACAGCCAGGAACACATAGAGAAAACAAAACAAACAAAAAAAGAATAAGACATTCTGGTCTGAATTGTTGGGTTTTTTTCATCCTACTTGGACTTCCCAGGGAGATTCGGGGCCTAGATATGGAAGGATAACTCAGAGAAAGCAGAGTTTAAGAGTAACTTCTATTGAAGACCAGCTTTGACATCAACTGGGGAAACTGAGATGGGGCATGGATTCTGTGGCTGGCTGGTCACCCAACAGACTTTTTCTTGTGCCAACTTTCCAGGCTGTAACTGATAGTTAGCAACCACACCTTCTACTGATAGTGGCCAACCGAGGGGCCAGAACTTAATTGTTCTTGGTGGTGGGCAAGAGGTGGTCCCTTCCTGGTGGGGGCTTCCACTTGGCAAATGGGGCTTAAGGCTGATGGCTCCTTGCGGGGCCTTTCCACCGGTAATGGCAAAGCATCTAAAAAAAGGAAAGGAGAGAAAAGACCATACATGTGCGTGCGCACACACACACACACACACACACACACACTTGATGATGAAGTAAGGCAGACTCCAGCAGGTAGGTTCCAACAAGCTTCTTTTTTCAAACTTGTCTTACTTTACACACACACACATTCACACATTGGGAGCAAACTCCAGAGAGCAAGTTCCAACCCAACCTTACACACGTACACATATACACATTTTTGTGGATAGAAAAATATTCCAACCTCTCCAGCTACTGTCCATATACACACACATATACATTTGGTGGATAGAACAAATACCAAAGAGTGAGTTCCAGAAACTTTACTATTTCTCCCACCGTTTACACAGCCCCGCAAGATCTTTCAAGCAGTATAAAAATCACAATGTAGTTACAGTCTATTTTCCAAGTGAATGACTAGAATGAGTATACATAAGAAAAACATGTTCCCAATTACCCTCACATGATCAAGTGTTGTATGTATTATGGGTGAGAAATAAATATAAAAAACAAGTTATTCCCAAGAACCCATATACACTTATAACTAAGCAATTTGTTATATATTAACAGAGTGTGAGCAAACAAGGTGATTTCTCAGCCAGCTTTTCTTTACTGGAAGGCTGCAGTTGGTGGTTACAGAGAAAGAATAAATTATCTTAAAAGGTAATCTAATAAAAATCCTAAGAGGATCACAAATCTAAACTTTTATATAAAAATAATCAGCCATTTCTACTTTAAATCTTTAAGGTAAGCATGTACTCGTTAATAATTCTTATTAAATCTTAACAGGAAGCTGAGGGCAAAAACAGGTACAAGGAATTAACCACCTTGAAGCTTCAGTGAGAGAGTGATGTCAGCCAGTGTTATTCTGGGCTATTTTCTTGCTCACCAACCTCAAAAAGTCCCTGGCTTTACTGCTAGGGGTGTATTTTTCTGAACTTCAGGTTGTTCCCTAAGATTTTGTATGTCAGAGCCACTAGCAAAAACATCCGTACCTAGCTTTGCTAAGGAAGGGGAGCGGTCATTGCTAGCAATATACATCAGCAGGTTCTTTTCGAGAGTGGTGGTTGAGTTAATCTGCTCCAGCAGCCATGCCTGAAAGAGATCGGTGGCAATGAGACGGCCACCGATGTGAGGGGCTGGCAGCCTCCTCAGAGTTTTCATACAGTTCACATGTTATGGGGATATGGTGACCACAGGGGCAGCAAGCAGAGCACGAAGTCCTCAGGATACGGAGTCCGTGGGGTTCTACCTCTCCAAGACATCCCCTGTGGTTGTGCCATCCAGTGGGCCGCAGGCCGTGAGTTCCGGAGCTGTTTTGCTGCGCTTCGTGCACAGTCCCTGGCAACCTTCCGTCCTTTGTTCTTCTACTCTTTTTACAGAGTATCTGTCAAAGCCCAGCATCACCATGGATGGGCAAGACAACAAGAATGGCACCTGCAGAATCAACCTGACATGTTCTACAGAACAGGGAGGAGAGAATGTGACTTACAGCTGGAGAACCGTGGGGCAGGCAGTCGATGAGTTTCATGATGGTGCCAACCTCCCAATCTCCTGGAGCTTGGGGGAGAAAGACAAGACCTTAATCTGTGTGGCCAGGAATCCCATCAGCAACAGTTCCTCGGTCCCCACCCTTGCCCGGAATCACTGCAAAGGTGACAGTCTCCTTTTTACAGGAGCCTCTGGTTGAAGAAACTTTATCTTTTTTAGTTCCCAGTCCCTATGGAAACAGGGTCTGTGTCAACTAAAGGCCTCTGGGAAACCACCAGGGGGGAGGAAAGTGAAAATTAGACCCTTTTCCCTAGTTGATTCCACCACACACTCGTCCACCCTCTACATGCCTTTGCTCATTTTCTCTTTCAAGATGCTACCAAGGATCAAAATTTACCCAAGGTCTTCATCTGCGTCATGCCGGTGTCCATCCTGCTCATTGTCTTTCCAGGGATTATTTTTATTGCTATGCGGAGAATGAAAGAAAATGGTAAAGCATGTATGGGCTTTTTCTTCATATATTTTCTCCCTTTTACTCCTCAAGCAATATGTCAATCTGTGTGCAAGGTTTAGTGTTAAAGATATAAAGATCAGAGGGCATGGTTTCTTAAGAGGTGCACAGTCAGTGGCTGGAGAGACAGCTCATTCGTTAAAGTGCTTGCCATGCAAGTGTGAGGTCCTGAGTTCAAACCCCCAGCACTCACATTAAAAAAAGAAAATCAGATGTGGTAGCATACATTTGTAATCCTAGCACTTTAGAAGGGGAGAGAGATGAACCCCTGTGCTTGCTGGCCAGCTATCCTAGCCTACTTGGTTAGTTCCAAGCCAGCGAGAGATCCTGTCTCATAAAACAAGATAGACAAGGAGCAACAATCAAGGCTGACCTCTGGCCATCCCCCCTGTGCACATGCACTCTGCACAATGCACGAATGTGCACACACCTGCACATACTCACACATGAATATGAACACACACACACACACACACACACACACAGATGTACACACAGGCTGTGTGCCTTAGATCCAAACTAGAGAGAGTACTCCTTGCCTTCTCTCCTGAGGACAGGGACCCACTCTAGTGCCCACTCCTGCCCTTTCCTCAGAAGGACGTACAGATGTGACCTTTGTGATGACACAGATCCAACATGGCTGATTCTGCTCCTGCTTGGCAGCAATGCTCTCTCCGCCCTTCCTGTCTGACAGCTCATCCCTGTCAGAGCCCTCTTACCTCTTCACCACGTTTTCCTCTTAGATGAGCCTTTTTCTGTCTCCCACGGTGTGTCCCCCATTGTGTCCCAAAGCCCTCATCTGTCTCCCCACTCCCCACTGATACTATCCTTGGTGGCAGTGAGGGTGGGCTGTAAATGAAAAATTGCAGCAACAGTCATGTATGAATGCAGACTTTGGGTTCACCCTTCTCTGTCAGAGACATTCTTGAAACATTCCTGACTTCCTCCACTTCCCACTTTGGTCACCTTGATTTGGGGATGGGGAAGTGGAGTAACAGAGTGACTGATTCATTCTGATTTGTCTAGGATTTGCTCTATTTTAACACTGAAAGTTCCATGCCCTAGAAAAATTTCCACTTCACTATGACTAGGGTGGTTGGTTACCCTGAGCAGACCACCCAGGGTTGGTGGTGAGCCGGGGGAGATGGCGAGTGGTAAGAGAGGCAGGCTTTGATTCCCTCAACATGGTTTCAGGCTGTGGGGAAGACACGAAGAGAGTGGACAGCCACCAGGAAAACCCCAACTTCTGCCCTCACACTGAAGAGAATACAGACTATGCCACAATCCCTTATATAAGTGTAAGTCCTTTTCCTTTTCCTGTGTGTGTGTGTGTGTGTGTGTGTGCGCGCGCGCGCGCGTGCAAAGGAATATATATATATATGTGTGTGTGTGTGTGACCAGCTCCATCTCTCTAAGTCTTTCCTTGCTTCACTTGAGACTTCTCTCTACAAGATTGGGTATCATGGAAAGAGAAAGAGGAATAAGATGTATAGTCCTTAACCTGCAGTCAATCTGCCTCCCGTACCTTAATTCATGTCTGTGCAGAAGTTGGTGACTTTTAGAACTCATGATTCTGACCCAAATCTGTAGCACAGGAGCAGTTACATGAATCATCCCTTCCTTCCTTTCTTTTCACAGTTTACGGTGTCAATCTTTACTTCCTCACAGGAGGTGGGAAATGGGCTTTTGTAGACTATTTAACTTCTTAAGTCAAAATTTATCACTTTGTCACTGCCTCCCTCTTCTCTTACTCAGGTTACATCCTTGAGACTTCAAGGCTACTCTGCAGGGTCAGGAATAAACTTAAGCGAACTCAGGATGTTTTTCTCAGGTCAAGAGGTTTTTTTGGTGTTTTGTTTTTTTTTTATTATTATTATTACTGTTGCTTTCTTTTGGTCCATTGGGCACCCTTACTGTTTCTCCAGGAGAAACTATTGGATAAATCAGTTTGTAACACTACAATTTCATGTAGTGTTTAGGCACCTTAGGAGTTTATAAGACATATCTTGACACACCTTGAAATTCATTGAAACATAATATGGACAATAATACACTAAAGCAAATGAAGAAAAATATGAACAAAAGCAATGACTTTCTTTAAATGTGATGAACATGCAGTATTATGGCAGTTACTAACGAGAGAATGTCAGCTACCTATGCCTGTTCCAGAACCTCATTTTCATTCTCTCCATACTTCCTTATGCTTTCCCTTATACAGTTTCATACTCTCCTGTACTTTGCTTACTCCGGGTTGTGTGTCTGCCCGGCCTTGTCAATGTGACTCAGGAGTTAAGTGATGACTGTTTGTTTGTTGTTTGTTTATTAATAGAAAACAAATCCGGAAGAAGATGCATCAAACACATTTTATTCCACTGTGCAGATCCCCAAAGCGGTAAGAAGCTTTACAGTTGATTCTCATATTTTTCCCATTTATTTTTTGTTTGTTTGTTTACAGCCCAGCCAGCCCCCTCCCTCCTCTCTTCCCAGTCCCACCTTCATGCCTCCCTTCTGCCAATTCCCCCTCTCCTTCTCAGAGAAGAGGAGGCCCCCAAGGGGTATCAACCCACTCTGGCACCTTGAGCCATAGGAGAATTAAGGGCATCCTCCCCCACTGGGGCCTGACAAGGCAGTCCAGCTAGGGGAAAGGGACCAGGGGCAGAGGTGGAGGATGGGAATAACTAGGTCTCATCTTAATTGTTCATCCCTTTGCCTGGCTCATGTTTAGATTCACATTTCTTAGACTTAATCTCAGGGGATTAAAACAGACCCCTGCCAGCTCCTCATGTCTGTCTTCAGGGGAGAGTCCTCCCTCCCTCCCTGTGATGCCAGACATGTTGGGGCCATCTAGCTTTGAGCGTGTATCCTAGATAGTTTATCCCCAAAACATAGGAAATGGATGAAAATAGGGTAGAAAAGGGATTCTAGATTAGAATGATAAAGAAAACCAGAAGGGTTCTGTCTGAAGTCATGGATGAGGCGAAGAGCTATGGCTTTTGCTATGTGCGGGGGAAAAAGGAGGGTCATGGGTAGAGACTCCTGTTGCCCCTGAGCAGCGGATAACTGGAGGAGAGAGATTGACTTGCTCTGGCTACATTACATCTGTTTTGCAGCCTTCCTATCAAAATGCAGACATGGAAAGATGCATGGCTTATCCCCTCACAGTCTGTGTTTTGCAGGAACGATGGTGCCTTCTCATCTATTTTTCCTTTCCCTCCAAAACAATCAAAAAGATATGGGTGCTGAAGATGATATTTTTTTTTCCTTTGTGACATTGAACACTTGCAAATTTATTATAAGACTGAGAGATCTGTTAAGGATAAAGAAAGATAAATCTATTTCCCTTATAGAATAATCTCTCTAAGCTAAGAGTGAACAGGAAGACTGTGCATGGAGGAGCTATGGGTCGGGTCCCTTTAGAAGAGTGTCTGCGATGAACTGTCTCCTACGAGAGATCCAGAGCCCTACTCATGTTCAATGTTCTTCCTCATGTCCACCTGCAGGTGAAGAGTCCAGGCTCCCTGCCTGCAACGCCACACATGCCAAAGACATTAAGGTTTGAAAATGTTATCTAGAGAGTGCCACTACATCCCCTCCCTCCAGAAAAAAAAAAAAAAGAAAGAATTCAGCATTCTGAGCAAAAATGCAAATTTGAGCCATAGACTGAATGTAAATATTTCCCCACCAGACCTATGTGTTTGCATACAGATGTTGAAGACCAGATTCAAGGGCTTCAGGGAACAATGACTCTTGGGTATTGGGACACATCCATTTGCATTACATTCTGACAAAGAATCTAGCTTTGTTCATCCAGTAATGGTGAATGAGGTTGAATTCGTGGGTGACAGACTAATTTGTGTGATGGAGAAAATTTCAAGACCGCACAGCACCTAAGATGCGGCACAGCCATACTTGCTACGTTTATCCATGTTTAGAGTAAGAACTCAAAACAAAGAAAAGGAACTGGAAGGTGTAAAAAGCATACAATTTGATAAGTAGCATGAACTCTTGACAAGTGGGTATTTTTTTTTTCCATTTGTACTGTAATGGTTAAAGAGATGAGCTCCTGTAAAGAGTAACCCCAGACTTTGTGCTAGGACAATGGAAATGGGGCTCTGAGAGCGAGCCCCTACCTTTCAAAAACTTCAAGGTATGAACTGAACACCCCACCTGAGCAGCTCGCATTTAAAAGGAAGAGTGGCTGAACACAGAGTGTCCCGCCTGGAACAGCGTTTCTCCAGAGTCAGCTGCACAGCTTCTCAGAGGCTGCTGAACTCCTGACCTGAGGGGGTGTGGCTCTCTCCTGAGGTGGCAGCAGAACATGGCAACATTCACAGGCTGAGGGCTTTGCAGACATGGCAGAATGCAGAAGCTGGGGAGCCACTGAGGCTCCCACCAAGCCCCAGAGGACGAAAGCCAGGCGAGGTATATCGAGGTTGGCCTTTCTGAGTGGAACTGCTGTGTGAGCCTGTATGAAGCTGTGAAGGCAAAGTTCGTAAGTCACAGTACAGACTCCAGGATACTGGAGCTGCCAGGAACATGGAGCATCTACTGAGAGAAGCTTAAGGCACTGAATACACCCACAGAAGAGGCTATGGGTGCTTTAGTAGCAAGGTCATGGAAACAGGCCTCCTCAGATCCCCTAGGGCACACATGATGACACCATGTATCCAGGATGCCAGGTATAAAGGTTCCGGGTCTCTCATTCCTCCCTTTTGGAATGCGAGTGTTTCCTCCGCCATTGTACATGAAAGTATGTAAGTTTTTCTTTTATCTCATAGGAGCTCACAGCTCAGGGTTTGCCTTACATCTCATAAAAGACATTGGACATTGGACTGTTATGGCTGAGGACTCTTGGAGTTAGATGGAATGCATTTCGCAGTGTTCGATGACCGTGAGCCTATGCGAGCCACGGCACGAATGTTACAGATTGAGTCCAAAGCGTGCTTTACAGACAGGGTCCTGTCTTTGAATGCTTGGTGTTCAGTTTGGACAGTCAATAGTGTTATTTAGGAGTGCTGCAGAAGAGAGGTCCTGCCTGGAGATGGTGGGCAACATTCACTTCCGGCTCTGGGCTGGGCCTTCTGCTTCTACCTCATGCAGAGTCCTGCCCACTGTGATGTGGGGACGCAGCCACCACAAACTTTCTCCAACACAGACCATGCCCCTGAGGACACCATGCCTTCTGATGAGGATGGATTGTTATATCTAGAATCGAAAATCAAAATAAGCCTCGTCCCCTATAAGTTGCTTCTGCTGCTTGTTTTAGCACCGAAACCTACTTCCAGGATAAGCTCCTTTGGGCTCTGAGGTTCATTGGCTGCTGAGAACGCCCCTCAAACTCAGAATCTGTATTCCTTTCTGCAGATGAGACCGAATTTGTCAGTTAGTCCTGAGAAAAAGGCTGAGAGATGCCTTGGCACGTAAGTACGTATTAATTAAGGTCCTGGGGCAAGATCTCAAGTCCTATCCTATTCCAGAACTTCAGATCAGGACTATCCCCAAAAGACTGATTGCTGGAGCAGACAGATGTAGCCAGCACAAGCAAGTTTACCTGTCCAAAATAAATGTATTAATTTATTAATGAAATCACCAGCTGTGTGGCAGATACTGTGTTACACTTGTGTGGGTTATCTCAGCACACTCTGCTCCTGCTTGACACCTCATGAACTGCCTTATAGGGAGCCACAAAAACAGTGGCTACAGAGTCCCACAGGCCCCTTGTGGGTATGCAGGTACCAGAGGCCAAAATGGACAAGGACAGAAAATCCAACTAAACACCTATGCTTTGCTGGTACCATCCATGGACACTCAAAGCCTTTCGTAAAGCACAAGGACCCCTAACCTCTACTTCACCTATGCTTACATACTCCGAGGGAAAAGTGTAATCCCTAGGCCTAGAGGGGAGCACATCTTTTTCAACAGAGAAATAGCCTGAATACACAATTTGGATCTAGACCGAGCCCTAGAGTCAGGGATAGAGTCTGGGGTTTGGTGGCTGGAAAGCCCTCACAGCTGTTTAACTTTTTCAAGGCGTATTTATTGAGAACATTTGCCAGGTCAGTCTTCTAGGTAAAACAGACATATCCCCTGCCCATGGAGCTCATTTTCCTTTTCAGTGTTGTGTAAGAGGCATGGGAACACGCGCAGCAGGTGCGTGTGTGTTTGTGTGCATGTGTGTCGGTGTGTGTGCACGAACACGTCCTTGTGCGCATTTGACGTGGTCCCAGAACGAGAAATTACATGTCTTAAACGAGAGTACTGAAACAGAACTGGGATCCAGGGCTGAAGGGTATGAAATCAAGTAGACAAATACATGTTTTAAAAAGAAGAAATATGTTTCTAAAAAGAAGAAGTGTCTGGTATAAGGGGACACTCCTAAATACAAGCTGGATGGGAAAACAGAAATAAAACTACGGAAAAAGGGAAGAGGAAACCAAGAAAATGGCCTGAAGCAGAATTGAGGGGAAATAAAAGCAAAAAACAGAATGCATAATTTGCCCTAATACGTGGCAAATCTGTCTGGCCAGCCTCTGCCCAGAGCTGTGTAAGCATCTGCCCGAGGCACAGATGTAAATGCTATACATTACTGTTGTTCTTATTACTCTAACTCTATTAATAAGTAAGATATTATTCGAATAAGATCAGCATGTGTTAAGGAACTGCTCCCCCAAAGTCTCACAAAGTTGAGAGGAAGGGCACAAAACAGCACATAGAGGAGATTACTATTTACAGTGTGTGCAGCTAGAACAAGTGGGCCTTCAAATTTGTCCAGGTAAAAATAATTCTCTGATTTTATTTCAGTATCTCTCATAATAAAAAGACACCGAGGAATTTACAAACAAAAATATGCCTTATGCTGCTATTTGCAATAGGCAAGTTCCGGAAGCTACCTAAGACCGAGACAACAGAAAGGTTAACCGAGCACAGACTATAAGAACCCAGGCTAGGATGCCAGCCAGGTGGCTCAGCAGTGAAGAGCGCCGGCTGGTTTTCCAAAGGGCTCAGGTTTAATTCCCAGCACTGCCAAGGTGGCTCAAAACCATCTGTAACTCCAGTTCCGGGGCATCTGATACCCACTTCTGGCTTGCATGCGTACCATGCACATGGTACACAGATACACACGCTGATCAAATATCTATACATATAAAATAATGGAATTAAGTTAAATTTTGAAAAGACATGTTAGATAGCCAGGTGGAGGGGGGAGGGGGGGAGGTATACTCTATAATCCCAGAATTTGGAAGAGTAGCCACAAGTTTGAGGCCAGACTACATAGTAAGTTTCAAACCAGCATGGGCTATATAAGAAGACCCTTTCAGTAATCCTTATTATTATTATTATTATTATTATTTATTGTTATTGTTGTTATACATTTACATTTTTCTAAAATTAAAAAGTCATAGTTTACTGTGGCATGTGTGTTGTTGTGAATAAAATGGTACCATGCTAAATAATGTTTATTATTATTTGCCCTATAATTATTATGGCAGTATTATTTAACCTGCTATCACAGTCAAAAAGACACAGACACCTGTTAGATTTTAAAATTGCCTTATTTACCTTAGGCTGGGCAGATAATCTACCTATGCTGTCTCAATAACCTCACCATCCACCTCCCAGCCCCCTTCCAATGCCATCCACTTTAACCATTCTTATCTGGGTGACCTTCCATCCCTAATCTTAGAAATATTTGATTGTATTCTTTATCTGGGTCTTTCCACGCCATTATTGGAGTCCTTCTTCCCAGGCCACGTGGTTTCTTCTCCACACTAACCCATAGTGGCAACTTCCTTTATCTTCTCTTCCCATATGTCTCTCTCCTTCCTGTGATTCTCCTGTCTCCAGAGCCGGGGAACTTTAGCCATGCCTATCCCATTTTGTCCTGCCCAGGTTTTAGGCCTTTTAACAAACCAATCAGGAATAATATCTTAGGCAGGTTTTCACAACAAGGATAGGGCAGTAACCAGATCTTGAGAGCAAGTAATTAGCATTAAAATACAAGCATCAGACCAACCTCCAACACATGTGCTTATAACCTTAGCACGCAGGAGACTGACACAGAAGGACTATGCATTTAAGGTCTGTCTGAACTACATAATGAGACCTTTTCTCAAAAACGACAACACAAAATGACGGGTCACATGGTTTTTATAAGCTAGAAGACGCAATGGCGTCACAGGTAGAAAAGGTAATGTGTGACACTGAATGCGAGCCATGATTACTTCGACACGGAAAGAAATGCCTTGCATTAAGCCCCAGATTCCAGCCCAAGCACAGTATGAACTGAGTGCCGTGGTGTGTGTCTGCAATTAGCTGCTCCTCAGAGGTGTCAGCAAGAGGAGCAGAAATCCCGAATCCTCTGCTAACAAGTTCAAGGTGAGCCTGAGATAAATGAGACGCTCTTCCAAAATAAATAAAGGAGAAAGAAGGAGGGAGTGGAGGAGAGAAAAGGAGGAGGAGCAGAAGCTACGTTCTCTCTTCTCAGCACTTCAGCCGACACGAAGTATATAAAATGTGTATAAAAAATGAAAGGGAATGCATTAAACTGGCTGTTGTGGAAAGTGAAAGTTTAGGTGTCCTGTTATTTGTTTGTTTTTCATGTGTGTGTTCTTTTCTCAAGTGCTTTTCAGTTTGAGAAGATGCGTGTTGGACAGCAGAATGGAAGAAGTTTTAAATAGATTTTCAGTGAGAACAAAAGAGTTGATGTCTGCCAAGAAGTGCTGAAGGGGAAATCTGAAACCCACCTGTTAAAAATGTGGTGGGGGAAAATGGAAAATGTCCTCCTCTGTGAGAGGAGAGGGGAGGACCCCCACACACATACAGTGATCACAGGAAAAGATTAATTTCTGTCAGAGGAGTGTGGCTTGAGTCTGTGGTCGGTTGTGGGCAGGGCCTGAGCTTCAGGCTCCATCACTCCCCATCTCCTGTGTTCTGGAAACTAACTCATACAGTAAATAATCAGGATAATCCTAATTATCATCCATCCCTCCACCTCCCCCCTTTAATTAAATGGTGCCTGGAATCTATGAACTCAATATTTCACAATGTTGGGTGCAAAAGGAGGTTTTCTTCCTCCTGAGCTCAACCAGCAGGCAATGAAAACCACCAGATCGTCAGCGTGCAAAGTCACAGGCCCACCACAGACACCCCTCTGAGCTCTGTGGTGTTGGACTTGTGAGATATGAGCAATAAATTCTCCAACACAGAAACCTAATAAGAAGAAGACGGGGGGGGGGGGGGGAGCAAAACTGTATGCATCATCTCATGCACTCACTTATGCATGCATATTTTTATCTGCTCAGCAGCACTACTGAGTACCACCAATGCCAGGCACTGTTCAACAGACAGAACATAATTAACAGTGAAGCAAAACACAGGTCTGAGCCTTCAGGGTGCTTATACTCTAGTGCCAGCGGCCTACACACACACACACACACACACACACACACACACACACACACACACACTATCCTTCAAATAACATAGAGCTGCTGTTGTGATCAGGCCTGTGCCGAGGTGTACCCCTGAGATATTACACCAGGCAACAGATCTGGTATAAGACATTTGTTGGGGGAGGGAAGAAGAATGGGGACACAGGGAGAGATGGACTCAGACAAGCAGACACAGAGAGAGAACAGGAGAGAACAAGGAGAGAAGGCAGACAGAGAGAGATGAGGGCAGAGAGTGGGCAGAGGGCAAAGAGAGATCTGAGGTGACTGGGAGCCATTTTGTCGGCAGCCCACGCCTGACACACCTGGAAGTGTCAGGTGATGACTTAGGCAGCTGTTCCTCATGACCCTGTCATCTCCATTTCCTCCTCTCTTCATAGCACACAAACCATCCCGCTCCTCCTCCTCTCCCTTCTCACCATCGCACACTTGGTCGTCAGAGTGCTGCCTGACCCACCTGCGCTGAGGGGTGGCAGCCTCTGGAGTGTCGTATGCTCCCTGAGGAAACTTTTTTCTAAAGTTTTACTGTCCTTAAATATGTCAAAAACAAACCGCTCGGGATCAGACTCTAGAAGTGTGAACCAGCACCAGGTAACTAAGTTGTGGGATTAAAACTGTGCACCATGGTACCCATGGGCTCTCTTTATGGTAGCTCCTATGCATATAGAGTTGCAGAGCTCTTGCTCTGAATATTTTGTTCCTCTGGATCTTAGCAAACATATTAACTGTACAAAATTCTTTGTCTCAAAGAACTGAGAGCTCATATCAAGTCCACCTTCTCACTTAGGGTCAACTAACCCTTGGGCGAGAGGCCTGAATTCCTTCCCTAATTTCTATTCAAGGAAAAAAAAAATGTCTTACCTTCTCTGAGGATCATGTCCCTCACACTGAGCACTAGTTGTAGCGATCCCTGAAACTGCTACGGTTGTGCGCTGTGAAGAGAGGTGGATCTGGAGATGCAAGGGTTGATGAGGAACAGCCTGATGTCATTACCTGTGCTGCCACAGGAAGCCATAGTGAAATCCTGGCCCGTGCTGCAGCCAAAGGCCATGTCTGGATCCATGGCCCTACAGAAGCAGAGGCCTGTGTCGATGTCCATGGCCCATGTGGATATCCCTGCTCTGGGCTGCCTCCTGGGGTCATACTGATGTCCAAGGGCTGTGTAGGACTAGCCCCGCCCCTCACCTGCACAGCGTGGGAAAGTGGCCCAGAAGGCACAAGAGCATGAGAGCTGGCCCTTCTACTCTATAGCTGCAGCACTCAGGAGAGCAGGTCCCACACCTCTCCTGGGAAGCAAGGTAAAACTGGCCCTGATGACGTGGGCCCTGAAGAACTGGCCTGAGGGTCGAGAGCAGGATTCCTGGTCCTGCCCCTTCCCAGGGCAGTGCTGGAAAGTTGGCTTTGGTGACGTGGCACAGGAGAGCTGGCCCTGATGGCATAAGTGTGGGAGAGCTGGTCTTGCCCCCTGCTGGCTGCCACAGGCAGGAGAGCAGGCCCTGATGGCACAGGCATAGGAGAGTGGGCAGACTGACCAGCTCAGCTACCAGGTCTAGATCCAGGTCTTTGAAGTGGCCCACTCCAACACCTACAGCTCTATGCTGCTGGAGCACATGAAAGCCCAATGAAAGACCAAAGCTGCAGGATCTCCATGACACAGGGCAGCTCTGAGAGTAGTCCTGGTGAGAACCCAGTATTGATAGTGTAGCAGAAGATAGAGGCCTCAAACCAGACCAGCGGCTCACGGCACAGAACTTACTATTTGGGCTAACGGATATGCTGTGTGACACACTGCAGCTTCCATGGTGAGATGTATTTTTTTATTTTTATTGTTTATTTTATGTTATTTTTGTTGTTGTTGTTTTCTTTTGGGGGGATGTTGCAAGGGTAAAGAGCAGCTATGAAGGGTCGGGGAAATGAGTGGGATTGCAGTGCATGATGTGAAATTCACAAAGAATCAATAAAAAGGTTTTTTAGAAAAGTTTCCTCATGACAATTATCACAATAAAGCTTAAGGCATAACTACACTGAAAGTCCTTTGCAAAGTACCTGTGATGACAAGAATAAGTCCTATTGACTGAGGAGCAATGCCGAGGGGTCTGGGGGATTTGAGTGAAGCCTGGCTCTACAAAATGGCAGAGGTCCTCAGGCTGTAAACAACTTCCTCTCCAGCCTTCTGTGTGGAAGGCTGTGTGGAAAACAAGTGTTAATCCCGTTGACAAGAAAAGCCTGTGTGTATGAAATTATGGTTTCTCTACTGCTTATCTGTGATCACGAGGACCTGTGACCTTCTATAGCTTATGGACACACATGAAATAGGACTGTGCATATACACAGGAGGTGAGGCTAGGGATGAAACTAGAGGAATATGAGAAAGCCAACTTTGCTTTCCAACAGCCCACTGTTATATTAACCAATTTAGTCTTGGGAGCACTAACTCATTCCCAGGCATGAATGTCTTCCAAGAGTAGTGCCTACAGGGACCTAACCGGGTCCCACTAGGCCCCACTTCTCCCAGGCTCCACCACTTGGCAATACAGTTACGTTATAAACCAATCCTCTAGAACATGAACCTATGATAGACAAACCCCATCCAAACCACAGGAAAAAACTTTAGCTCAACAAAAACTAACGATTTTGCTTGTGTAGTAAGATATACCTGTAAACTCAGCTACACAAGAGGATTGCTTGAGTCCAAGAGTTCAAGACTAGCCTAAGAAACATAACAACACCCCATCCCATGGGGTGGGGAGAAGGAGGATGAAGATGAGGAGAAGGATGTTCTGATAGTGGGTAATGAGTGGTGAGCAGTGTCATGCCCATTTCCACCTTGAATCTAAACTATGAAGAAAGG